AGTAATTTTGACCCAGAAAGCGAAATTTGAATATCAGACACTTAGGTGTAAGATTATGCCAAAATTCCATGTTTTCCGTCCTGTTTTTGTCCATCACGTACAGTAAATTCTTTGGTGATTTAAATGAAAGAAAAGTATAAGTACGTAACATTGAATTTAATTGTGTTTGGCACCCTTCCGGCATTAATAAAGAGCAATTCTTGATCCTTGCCCTTTTATCGGCCGCATCAATAACTTATCGTTTACTTTGTGAAAATAACGACCGGGAAAACTTGCAACATAAACAAATTTAGTCCGCTGCTTTAGTCCAGATCGAAAGAGATATGCGTTGGGACTACTGGGACCTATAAATATCGCCCCAGAGAAACATACTGTGCAAGTTGATTGAAAAGTTTACAGTTATTTATGCAATTCGGAAAGTTGATTTGAAATTATTAGGTTTGTTCGGGACAGGGGACATTTTGCGTGTTTTGCCAATCTAAAGTGATTTTATGGATGATATTTGATAACATTTTTGCGTCGAAATTAAAATCCGCCCGAAGTTGTGCAAAGAAAAAAGGCAGACATCCAATTAAGAGCTGAAAGCTTATCAAATATATAAGCGATGGAAACGCAATCTTCCAATCTCCATTGATATCTCTCAGTAAATGTAACTAATTTATTTTTTGCGTCCACTTCTTTTTCATCGCCGTAGGTGTTTTTGGGGAACCGAAGTTTAATCGATATTTTATCAACTCGTTGCCATTTCGGCCAAGTAACGAAAACGGAAATTATGTATCGGCAAAAATACGACTGGATATTTTAAGGAAAACTTTCATTTCGCTAGTGTATCTCAAGACTTTATCACTGTTTCGATGGATGTGAAATGAGGACTCAAAACGCATCATCACATTTAGGTCGGCAAAATTTAATATGTGAATTTGTATCACCAACTTATTCAAGTTTATAACTTTTCGAGCGCTTTTTCATTTTTTCGGTGTTGAATTGAGCGCGAAGCAATCGAAAAATGCTAGTATTTGTTCTAGCAATTTGCTAAAAAGTGTCAAAAGCTCGCACTTTCACTCTTCCCACAAAGGCATTGCCTTCGGAATGAGAAAAATGAACCTCAGTGAGAATAAATAGGTGGAAATAAACTGGGCAAATTTTATAAAGACGACGCTTGGGGAGATGCGAGTCGTGTTATTTGTCCGAGAAACAAAGAAGTAACAAGTGTTCCTTCAACATAACGTAGGTATAATTCGGTCCGGGAATGGCTCTAACATTACGTAAGGAAACGACTTGGAGATTATTATTTATGACGGGGACAACGCTACATTTGGGACAAAATAATTTATTTATGGCATTAGTCTAATGTTGCAAAACTGGAAGATTTATCGCATACTTGGCAATTCAAATGAAATACTGTTAATTATTTGGTTTCTTCCGAAGCATCGAATGATATAGAAATATTCATATAATTCGCATAATTCGAAAACATTAAGTTTTTAACGGAAGTTAAAGGATAAATGAGAACACGCTAAGGTTTGGATAATTTATACAAACCCCTAGAAGGAAGAATGATCATTTTAAGAGAAATAGCGATAATTCGATTTTTTGCTTTAGATTTGGAAGCTCAAACGTGTCCGTTGAAATCAATTGGAGCTCTATAAAAAAGTCAAAAATTTGGGAAATTAATGGGAATTAAAGGTATCAGACTAGCGTAAAGTTTAGGTTCGATTTTCGATTATACCAGCAAAAGTGCTAATCTCGAAAATTTCACCCAACAAGTATAATTCAGACAAAGGAAGAACAATTTTAATCTCGGCGGACACCCTGTATATTTACTATGCACATTTCTTGAGGAAATAATCCTCACCGTTTCCAAAAAGAAATGTTTATTGAACATTATATTACATAATTCGACGCTTATTATTTAATTGTTTATTATTTAATCGAATGATACATATTTTAGCCTGCAGGGCTTCAGCTGCACATTTTCACTGAATTTTCCACTGGATGTGCAGTCCAGCAAAATATATAAATAAATAAATCAAAAACAAATCTACCACCATCCATTAAAGTATAAATAAAATTTAATAGCAAAAAATGAAATGTGCGCGCATTAATGTGTATGACGGAACCCGTCAGGAAATATTCCTCATCAAAAATGTACTTGTACAAAATGAAAAATTCAATCTGTTCGGTTCCTTCTCACTGCACTCGGAACATTAAGACAAGAATCTTTAGTGAAATCCATTTTTCCATTGGTTTTCATCTCGCAAATGTCGCTTTATCGGTTCAAATAAACTTTATGGCCGATTTTGTATCAGATTTTTTCCGGGTAACTACTCCCGATTCCTATTTAAATGATATTCGATTTAGCATTGTCGGGTTTTTCGGCCCGACACTCTCGCCCATTTCGACTTCAACAAATTCTACGTTTTATGGCACTTTTATTGATAAAACGTCCGTTCGTAACCTTTTCGATGCAATTTATTTGGGAGAGATGTATCTTTCTTACATTGGGCTAAAACCTTTCCGTTCTTTAGTTTGGACAAAGCTGCGAAACTATTAGGATTTTATTTGCAGTGCTTTATGAATGAGGGGGTCATACAGTGTCTTAATGTTTTGTAAACACTTTCAAAGTTTGTAGAAAATTTATTGAGGTGCTTTGCGCATTTGGCCCTAACAATATTGATTCATTTGGTATTTTCCAGGGGGTTTTTGCGCTAGCTTTCAGACGATTGGGTTGTTACCGAGGCTCCATAACAGAGCAAAACGCGAATATGCATTAACATTTTCAATTTTTACTGTCATTTGAAGTTAGATTCACTTTGGATGATTTTCGAGCTGGTGACTTTTACGTGTCTTTATAAAAGTAGATTTTTACCGTAAAACACTGGTTACTTTGGCCTTTCTGGATGATCAAAATTCGAACTGAAAATTGCCCACTTTAAAGGAAAAAGAGTTTGAGCAGGTCTGACTTTTTTAATGAATCAAAGTTCACTTTGTCGGGCAAGGTTGTTTTGAAACTCGTTAAAAACAGTTTCTTGAAGTAGTTCAGCCAGTGGCAACTGTGAAGTTGGAATGTGTGAAACTGATTTTGTTCTATTTCCAACTTTCTGCATCTTTCTATATTTCTACTGGATTTTGATACACTTAAACGTTTATTTATCATGGTTAAGTTCTCAAAGATGCAATTTTTTATAAAGAAGAGATGTTGGGAAAATATATAAGCTCGTTCTGCTTATTTACATATACAAAACCATTCTAATGAAACGTTCGAGACTTTCTTTGAGACTGACGGTTTCTCAAATAATTCATCAAATCAAAGCGACAACTTTCAAAGACCGTAATAAGGTCGAAAGCCCAATTTTTAAATTAAAATTGGATTCGCATGAATATAGCTGGAAACGAGTACGAAAAATCGCATTTTTCGGTATATTTTCAGAGGTTTAAGCCCGATATATGCTAAAGATTAAAGTCAGAAAATAGCGCCCATTTAGGATATTGGATCTTGTACTGGAAGACTGCTTGGAATTGGAACATACTCGACTGTTGTAATTTTTGGCGAAGAACAATAGTGTTTCGGGTCAAACAATTTTCAGAAAATCCTAATAGCAAAAGCATGCAAGCGTGAGTATTTTGAGGGGAAACACTACTGCAAATTTTTTTCCCTATATATTGCAAAGCGCAGTTGTGTGGGACATTTGAAGCTTTAATAGAAAGCTTGAAACAGAAATATTCAGAACCTGGATGTGCCACATTGGCTTAAAATTCGTCCAGTTTTGATGCAGAATTAATATTGTTTCAACGCAGTAGCGAAATTCGGTTGTAAATGCCAAGTCGAGTCTACACCGAGGAAATATTTCCGTACTAATTATTTTTCAATATAGCTGTTTCACAATCGATGCTAACTTCCACCCGATAATGTTCAAAAAAAGTCAATAAACATATAACATGATAGGCAAAAACATATTTGTAATGAATAAAAGAAGTTTTATATTTTAATAATTATCCAAATTTCTTCATGGACAAATGTTTTAATGAAGTGTTATGATGTTCTTCTCCTCCCTGGGTTTCAGTCAAAGTGTGAAATAAAATATTTGATATAGTTTATTTCATAACGTTTCGGCGAGGCAACAACGCCATCATCAGATTTAAAATTCATACAAACTCATAATTGGTAAACATTATATTCATTTAGGTCGGCAAAGACCTATTCATATTGATAATAATTATTAAGTCTTTTTGTCGTATGACGTATATGCAAGTGTGGTTAGAGCTATTTTGTTGTTTATGGTATTTTAGTATTCTGTTAATATAGCGGACAAGGCAAGTATCTTATATTTAACTATTTCACATTCAAATGTTAGTTTTACTGGATCTAAACAAGAAATTAGCTCAAAAAATGTCCACATATAGAGCTAATAATTTACATGGCAGACCAAAATTCTATTGATAATTCACACGATCCAGATTTTACTGTGGAGTCTGAATTGCCAAATCAATCACGAAAATTCACAAAACAAGGAAAAGTA